TTGGTAGCCCAGGCTGGCCTCGAACTCACAGAGATCCGCCTGCCTCTGCCTCCCGAGTGCTGGGATTAAAGGCGTGCGCCACCACCGCCCGGCCCACATTTACTGTTTTTAATAAAACTTAGTGGACCCATCTGTCAAGGTATTTCAGGTGCAGAGGTCATATTAATTAGAACTACAGGCACCTCTTGCACTTACTCGGCAACTTTCAATGTTTAGGGGTTAGAGAGATGGCTCAACATTTATTGAAAACTCAGAGGGGTTTGCTGCTTTTCCAGAGGGCCCAATGTCAGCTCCTGAGACCATGCCAGGCAGCTCATTAACTACCTGCTCCAGCTCCAGGGGATCTGATGCCCTCTTCTGGCTTCTGCAGGCACACACACAAACAGGACAATTTTCTTTTCAATTTCTATTTTTTATTTACTTATTTTTAGACAGGGTCTATTATGTAGCCCTTGCTGTCCTGGAACTCATTGTAGACCAGGCTGGCCTCCACAGAGATCCGTCTGTCTCTGCCTCCCGAGTGCTGGAATTAAAGCTGTGCTCCATAACACCCAGCTTCTTTTCCTTTTTTTAAAAATCAACTTTACTTTAGGTGCATTGTCCGTGTGAAGGTGTTAGATTTCCTGGAACTGGAGTTGCAGACAGTTTTGAAGTGCCATGTGGATGCTGGGAATTGAACCCAGGTCCTCGGGAAGAGCAGTCAGTGCTCTTAACCACCCAGCATCTTTTCAATTTTGAAATCATTTACTTGCTCTCATGATATTATATACTAGTTTGAACAAGCTGATGATCAGGCAGTTAGCTGGTAGCTGAGAAAGGCCGATTTAACTCTGCTTTAATGGCCAGGGAGGGAGAGTCTCAGTCTTGTGTGTATCAAGTCATGAGAAGGAGCTCCTGGAGGTTGAGTGACCAGTTACAATGGTGACTTCGAAAAGCTCCAGCCCCCTGGGGCTTTCATGCCCCATTGACTTTAACAGGATCCAGGGCAGTTTTACTGTCGGATGAGTTAAGGTCACAGCCCAAGAAAAGAAGATTGAAGACAGGTAAGCCACGACTCTGAAGATGACGCTCAGGACAATAGCAACTGGGCCAGTGCAGGTTATTTATCTTCCACATTCATCCTCCCCTCGTGTTTCCTGCCTATCTGACCTGCAAAGCCTAAAAATGCAAAGAAAAGCACAGGACTACATGGGGGGGGGGGCTGTGTACTTCTCATGACTACCACCTGCTGAAATCTAACTTCAGGGGACAGAGTGGAACATTATTTGAAGGAAAGTCTAGGTGGCTTGAGGTGTACTAAGAACCATGGC